TGAATTTTCTCTTTCTTCTTTGCACCAGCTGCTGCTGCTGCTGCTGCTACCAACGCTATAACACTACTCCTAATCGTGCTCGCTGCAGCGATGACAACGGCGATTTTTCGGAACTGCCGTTTTTAGATTTCCGAGGCGCGCACAACTTATTATCTCGCTCGAATCGAGCTGCGAAGCAACCCTTTTTCGGCCAACTGCCCAACTCTTAATCGTAGAATCTAACTAGAAGCGATGATAAATCATCATCATCGTCGTTGTGCTTCAAGTCGGTGTCGTCATCCTAGTGTAAAGATACAATCGAGCACGCGTCCACTATAATTAAATCGTTTAATCGTTTGTCGCTTGTTCGGTGAGCACAAGATTGCCGATCCACGAAATATGCTAAGGCCACTTTCGAAGATCGTGTCATCCTTTTCGCGATCGATTCCATCGATAAACCGTTTAAACATCCAACCGAGAAAATAATAAAGAACAAACGGCAGCTAGTCGTGTCGCAGTGCGTTATGGAGCCAGGCTCGAGTTGTCACCCGTACATATAAATTGTCAGCTGATATTGTAGCAATGGCAGCGCGCAGGGATAGAAGCAAAACATCTGTCCAGCAGCTCTCTCTAGCCTGGCACTATATATTCTCATCTCCAACTTGGCGGAATGATCGCTCGAAATCATTCCAAGTGTATCACGCTCGACCGCTCGGATTTGTGGTTCTTTTTTTTCCTTCTTCTCATTTTCAGTTCTTCACTTTGACTCGTTCGCGTGCGAATAATACCTGCTTACACACATTATAAAGAAGTGGAAACTTGCGCTGGCTGAATGGCACTGCGTACATCGACAAATCCATTGTTGCTTCTCGGTACTTCAGGCCTAGCTCTTTATTGATTTTCTGCTCTCGGCTCCGAGGGAGTGCTGCTGTGTTTATATTGAATATAGAAAGGCGCGAAGCCGAAAGAAGAGCTCTAATCTCTTTCTTGCAAGAGAGAGCAAGAGTGAGGAAGAGAGAGAAATATATAAGTAACATTTGATTTATTACAAGCAATAATCCTTCAGATGAATATTTGAGGAGACTGACTGGAGGCGTCTTCTTCATCCGAAAAGATCGTTAAATTTTATACCTGTTCGAAGGCGAGCAACGTGTACAGCTACGCTGCGAATCGATATACGCAGGCGTCCAAAAATTGCCACGAGTCATGCTGCAGCCGAGAGTGCACGAGGCTCTCGTTTCTACGATATTTACAGGGCGCGCAAAGTGTCGGGCAAGCATTTCACGCAGGTTGACTTGTTGGCATATTATAGGCGCTTAAATACAGAATAGCAAATAAGCCCAATCAATCAAACACCCGGAGATCGCGATAATCTAAATCCAATATCTTATGGAAGGCAGCGGTCTAATCTTGACTCGCACAAGCTCGATCTTGGCTGTTTTTTGTTCTCTCTCTCTCTCTCTCTCTCTCTGTCTCTGTCTCTTTCTTTCTCTGCGATGTATCGATCCACGCGATCTTCCTGGGTCCTTTACTTCTTCCATAGAGCACGCATATAAAAAGCCTTGCATGCGCCTCGCGCGTATGTATTATTAGCTGGTCAGAGAGTTCGTTCGGCAAAAATACTTGGAAAATGAATTTGGAATAATACAGGAGGAGAAATAGATCCATCCATTCTACCGGGCCCGACAATATTTATGGTACGAGCGGCCGAGTATACAAATACACAATGCTTTTCCAAAATGACTGGGTTACTTCCAAGCCAATGATGATGTTTGCATTGCTCATTGTTGGCCGATTGTCCATGTCAAATGAGCAAAATACGCGCGGCTGCCGCCACCGCCGCCGTGGCTCATAAAATCCAGGACAGAAAGCTGAAAATTTGGAGCGAATAAGTGTAAAAGCGAGAGGAGACGCGGGCAAACGAGTTGAAATAACAATCTGCGTTGAGTTCGGTAGGAAGATGCGCAACGATACCAGCGCGTCGGCAGATTCTATCACAATTTACTGGTATTATAGTTTAATAGGAGATTCATAACGAGAAAATTATCCACTCGAGAGAACTGCAATGCGCGACGACAACAACAACGGATCAAGCCGGCGGCGGCAGAAACTCGAAAGCGCACGAGGGGTTGCTGCTGCCGACCGACTCCAGTCATCCCCCTAATCTGGCGAGCCACTGCCGAGTACCACCTATGTACTTCGGCGGTGCACGCGATGCAAGTATAACGCCGCGCTTATCTGCGCCTGTCTGCGCGTCTCTGCCTACGTGTACGTGTACGTGTGCATATATCCGTGTTTACTTGCAGTCTTGGCGCTCTTCGGCCTGGAGGGGAGGTCAGTTCATGTTTATATCGCTTTTGGGGCATCGTGCAGCCTGCGCATACACATACACGCTCGTTTTTTTGGCTCATCGCTCGTTTCTTACCCCCCTCCCCCTCCCCTTCTCTTGCTCTCTGTCTCTCTCTCTCCAGTCCACCCCTCCTACCCTATAGTAACCCTGAAATGTAGCCTCACAATAGACACGAAAAATCATCCATTATAAGCTCGGGCTGAGCGTAGCATGGGACAATGGCGTACGCCCATATATCACGAGCCACACTCCGGCTCAGCTTCTTCGTGAACGCAGCTTCTCTCTTTTTTTTTTTTTTTTTTTGAGAAAAAAAAAGAATCCAAAACGCGCTCTTACTTTGCAGTGACCGTACTCAATAAAAAGATGCGCGCTGTTTACCGAGAAAAAGCAGCATTTTCCAGCTAGTTTATTCTCACTTTGTACTATTAAAATTGCCTCGACCTTTCCTGAAAATTGTAATTTTTTAACCTGAGCTTCTTCTTCGCGGCTCGAAATTCACGCGCACCGAGCTGCAGACAACAACATCCTTTCCCGAGTACACAATTATTTTTGTCCCCATCCAACTGCTGCGAGGTAAAACGATGATCGCTATAAATTATATTATATTATTATATTTACCAAGACTCGAGAATCTCTGTGAAAAACAATCAAACACGTGGTCGGAATATTATTGGTTCATGCTTATTGTATCTTGTGTGTCGTGTGTCGTGTGCGGGGGCTAGGGAACTTTTGAGAGAATCTCTGTCTCTCCTCTCTCTCTCTCTCTCTCTCTCGTTCTTATTGCTTTCTCATTGTCAGAAAATCTTGGGTCCATATAGTTGCACCATGCAGCGTGCCAAATTTGTTATTCAGTATACACGTATGGACGTATAAGGCGCTCGTGATTGTTTGCTCTTTCACCTGGTAGATGAGAAATAAAGCGAAAAAAGACTGAGAGAAAGAGAAAAGTCACGCAAAGACCTTAACTAGATGCTCTTTTTCCAAAGACGCAACTTTATTTGCTCGTGAAATTTCAAATAGCGCCCATATTATGAGCGCTAGAGTCAAATAGACACATTATGAAGCGTCTGGATAAAGGTAGCCGGATATATCCGAGCCGAGCAACCTGAATAGCGTTTCATGTACGTATAAATTACAAAAAATTTCCTCGAAGCCATTTAGTTTGCGATGAAAAGAAGAAGAAGCAGAGGCTAATTTTCCGTATCGACGCTGGCGCCTCGTCGTTGCCAACGAGCTGCGCTTCTCTCGCGCAAAAGTATAACCGGTGAAAAGAAAATACCCGAGCCCATCATCGATATCGATCCCCACACGGCCGCTAATTAATGAAACTCCAAGAGATAGTAATAAGGGTAGGTATGAGGTCGCTCATCGATTCGAGCAGCGTATCATAGCGCTAATAATTTACGGCTCCACTGCGCGATAGGCGATACATAATAAAAAAAAAAAAAAAGAAGCGAAGAGATTCGCCTGGTCGCCATCTGCACACGAGTTAGCGGCGGCGGTGCCCGTGCCTGCAATATAAGACCTTTATTTATCCACCATTTATCATTGTGCCAAAAGAAAAGCGAGCCTGTTGGTATTAAAGTATACGCGGATATATTTCTCTCATTCTGCTGGAGACAGATTTTCGGGACGCGATTATTAATCGTTCTCGAGTTTTTGAGCGGCTCAAGACGCTCGAGCAACATCTTCTTTTCAATGCACATACATATACGTGCGTACGTATGTACGCGTACGTGGGTACGCTCGCACGTACACAGACGTACACGCGCGTGTATTCGTATAAATACAAAGTATGTGTGTGCAAGAAGCCACACGCCAGCCTGTCAGCTACCCTTTGTGTCGTCGGGATGTTTATATATCTATGATAGGGAGACAACGAGATTCTGATTGTGAAGCTCGGCATCTGCAAGATTGATTTATCCGCGTCACGGTGCGCGCTATTGTGCACGTACAGTTTTGTATTTTACTCCGGCTCCGAGTCTATCTTTCGCCGAATGAGAATTAATTCAAATCGAAGCACTTTTTAATATTAACACGCTGTTTTTCTTGAGTTAAATCAATTTGTACCAGCATCGAAAACGTTTCAGTTATAAAACAATGAAATGTCAAAAGTCACACTCGTCGTGAGGGATTTATAGTTTATTTCCTCCCACATATCATACGGTGAAATTTGTAAAAAAAAAAAAACTTATTGTTTTCTTTGCAAAAACAGAGTATCGCTAGGAGCAAAAATGCGTCTGCAAAGCGAAACTCGCACTACATAGAGTATCGTGCTCGAGCTTCGAGTTAACCAGGGCATTTTTACTCGTAAAAAATTCGCCAACTCTGCGCTTCCGCCTCCTTTTCGCGCCTTTCTCCCTTCGCACTAGAAATCACCGTCGAGGGGTTGGCCGCCCGCTACTCCGAAATATATATTCTGACTAGTTCCGGAGGAGATAAATAAAGTCGCTGAAGCGCGTGTTCGCGCTTGCCTTGCTAACCAGCCAACGATCTCTTTCTTCGCAGCTAGCTCGCTCGCCTAGACCGGCGCTTTACTGGGCTGAACCTCGGCTTATTTATATTTGTACGCCATATAGCCTTGTATCGTGCATTTTTCCTCAAAGTCGAAAGCTCTTATTGATCCGTAGCAACAAGTTGAGTCACGAATTGTTTATGCTTTTTGTTACAGGAGAGAAGCCCTTCAACTGCGGAGTCAAGTCTTGCGAGAGGCGATTCGCCAACAGCAGCGACAGGAAAAAGCATCAGCACGTGCACTCGTCCGAAAGGCCTTACCTCTGTAAAATTGCTAATTGTTCAAAAGCCTACACACACCCGAGTTCGTTGCGGAAGCATATGAAGGTAAATATTAGAACAACTATAAAAGCATGCCTTTATTATTTAATAATTTACTAATCTACGAATCATGGAAATGTCACAAGGAATTTCATGAATTATATTTACAGTCGCACGGGATAAATTTCCCAAGAATAAAGCGCAGCAAAAAGTCTGGTAGCGAAGCAAGCTTGGAATCGGATGATACCATGAGTAGCGTTTCTTCGTGCAGCTCAACCAGTAGCAAAAAAACTAGTAGACAAAGGGCACGGGCGAATCAAAGAAAGACGCCCAGCCCAAGATCCAACCGAAAGGCCAAAAGTAGCATCGAAATACAGGAGAGCCAACCAAACCATCATCCAGCACAGTCGCAAGCCCAGTCGACGCTCAGTCATCAACAGGTTCAACAGTCCAATCAAATTCAGCATTCGCAGCAGCACCCGGCAGCGGTTCAACAACTGCCGAGTCAGCATCAATCGGAGCACGGACAAAACTCGCGCTACTGTCAACCGATGCGCCATGCGAGCCAACCTTTGCATTTGCAACATCAAATGAGCATGCAGCAGGCCCATGGCGTCCATCAACCTGCCCAACACATTCAGCAATACCCACATTCCCAACTTCTCTTGCAACACCAGCAGCACCATCAGCATCAACAATTCCAACAGTTTCAGCAGATGCATCAGCAGCCGATGTTGAATGAATGGTACATGTGTCCGCCTCCGGTTATGCCACCTCAGCACCATGGCCCAACACCTTATTTAACGGGGCATCCGTACAACCATCTGATGCATCATAAAACGGCTGCTTTTTAAGCAAGTCGTCGATTAGCATAATCGACCTTTTAAAAATTCTTGTTGTGAAAATTGAATCAATCAAGTGTATAGTATTTTTTGTTTGTTTTCTGGGCTTAAACAAAGTTCATTACGGAAGTAAGATGTCAGCTTAATACATATAACTATTCAAACATAAGATTACACTTTAGCATAAACTGTTGAAAAATCGATGCATCATCACTAAAAATGCAATAAATACATCGGATAACTGTGCGATACATATATGTATATTATTCTATTAAATCATAATAATTATATTAATAGAATAATATATGTATTATTCTATTAAAACACCGACTATTTTTTTTTTTTAATTTTTTTTAATTACTGAAAACTTTAGCTATCTTCTATTCTTGAAAAACTCGTTCTCAAAACGTCATCCTAGCGTAAAATGGTATCTTATGAAAATCTTACATCAGCCCTATTTTATATACGACTAAGATATCTTTTTGACCATGAGTTTAATAACGATCTTACTGCGCTGAACTGAAATAACCATTTGAATGATTAGCTGCACTCAAATTACTTCTGTATAGTTGTTAATTATTATAAAGCTATTGTGAATAAACATATTTATTATGATACAAATTGCACCAAAGTTAATGATAGTGAAGATCTTACTGGTGAAAATCACCTCCAAGCCAAAGCTCATCGACGATTCGGGCCATTACAGGGTAATTTCTTTATAATAATTAATTGTATATATAATTTTTTTTTTGTATATAATCTGAAAAAACCTTGTATAGCCATGTTCCACGCTTATTACTTTTGTAAATAGTATTAAAATGAAGGTGAGTATTGAGTAAGGCAACATATTGTACATAAGCATCGAAATTATATAAATATATCGGTCAATTGTACACGAGAAAACTGCGCAACGACTCGCGAGATTCTGTACAATTATTTATTGCAGAGCATACAGACTGATGAAAACCTCGTGACTGAATCTGAATTTTAGATGGTAAGAATGTATTGAACTAAATTTTCTTCGAAATAACGTTCAGAATGCTTAGCATTAATCGCTTGATCATGTTCACGAATTATTCAATGTATTTTACACGAAATATGCTTTAAGGAGATAACGAAACTCATGCAAGAAAGGACATTTTTAAATTCGTTTTTTGACATTTTTACTGTTTATTTTTTCAAAAGGCTACTCAGATGCTATGGTTTTATTGTTCCAGAGTCAAATAACTTTTTAAAAATCCAAGTTGAAAATATCAAAAAACGTGTTGGAAAAATTTAATTTTCACTCCAACTTTAATGTCTTCTCATAGAGGTTTTCGATATGTAGTTAGTCAAAATACATTGTACATAATGTTGATGTAAAAATATTCGTACATTTGAGTGTATATATGTTTGTACGTGTGTATGTACTAAGTCATAGTCTGCTGGCTGCACTGTTCAGCGATAGCATACTTATTGTACCACTATAGATTTATCATATGTTAAAAACTTATGCATTAATAAAAGTATATTTGTCCACGTATTTGAGTTGTGATTATATCATTATTAAATATACATTTCCTTACACTCTACTTAATCTGCATAAAACAAAAAAAAAATTAAGTGTTTAATTATTTGAATTATCCTCATCCTTCGGAAATCATGAAATGGTCAGAAAAAGTGCATTGATTCATCTCAAATTAAAAATTGTCTTGCACACGATGCATATACTAATACTTACTAGTTCAGAGAGGTGGATGGAAGGAACTCTGAAGGAGCTTAAAATCGCTTAAACTTAAAATTTTATTAGATTGCATTTTCTCAAAAAATTTCGAAAAAATGAGTCGAAAAGGAACGAAAAATCATTTCTAAATGAAAATGCAAATACCTTTTACTAACAAAAACCTAAAATTATTGTAAAAATTACGCATTTTAGATCAAATTACGAGGGAAGAATTTATTTTCAGTCGCTTAGGACCTTAATGAACGTATCTATCAGTCTGAATTTTGAATAGCACAACATTATTAATTGCTTAGTTACCAAAATATGACCATTTCAAATATTTTTAAAAATACCACCAATTAACTTATATTTCGTCAATTTTCTATTAAACTTATGTTGAAAAAATTAAACAAACTTTAAATGAACTGAAAATGAAATTTTAATTATTTCAAAAATTTTAGACTAGTATATAACTTTTCAAGTTTAAAAAATGTTGACCTTCTGTAACTTCATTAAAAATTAAATTATCGGAGAATCGATTTTTCAATAATATCGTTAGATAAAAATTACCGTATTTTATGCGGTATTCGAAAACATATACAAAAGACAAAAGAAATTAAAAAATATTCATGGTTTATTGTTTGACGTATAGATTCGAAGAATTATAAACTACTCGTCAAACATGGAGAACAGTTTTATCTTGTGAATCGATCTAATTCTGAGCATTAATATATTATTTGAGGAATGTTATGGTTAGTAAAAATAAAATCATGTTTTATCAGATGTTATCTGTCTTACGGAGCAATTGTAGCATCATTTTTGAGAAATCACGATAAATTTCCTTACTTTTATTATCTTCAGCATATGTATGTACAAATAAAACATAGTGCGAAAGGCGATTTTTGGAATTTGTTTTGTATTGCGTCCTTAAACTCTTTCTCTTGCCCTCTTGCCCTCAACGGCCCTCACGCCTTATTTTAAGTTTATCGATCTTTCTTGCGAGCTGACATTCAGCGCTACAATACTATAAAGCTGAATACTTGCTTGTATTCACAAATAAGACCAAAAAATAAAACTAGTGAGAATAAATAAGAGAAGGGAATAGACATTGGAGAAAAGGAAGGGTTATAAAGAATGGATAATAAAATGAAAAAAGAACGCATACCAGTGACAAGGGACAGGAGATTTGAAAATGATAAGAAAATTACTAAAAGTGCGATTATGCTTCTTTATTCGAAATTTGAATGCATGTGATTTTAAAAATAACTTCATTTCTAACGTCTTATTTCTCAAGTATCGAATTTTAATTTAAAAATAAATCTAATCGGCTAGGAAAAAAGTGAAAAAAAATTTTGAAAATCAGCTTTATAGTTGGTGTATGCAGCGTGGCAAGCTTGCTTTTACGGTCTCTGGCCGAGCGGTGACAAGCAAAGGCAGCATTTACTTCATCACTGCCAATATAATTCACGCAGGGGAGAAATAGACTGGGCGCATTCACGAAGCACAGGCGAGAGCGTATATTGTCAGGCATGGCGCGCGCCAGGCAGGTATACATGTATACACGCTCGAACGACCGATTGAAGAACGAAGAGAGAAAATCACGAACCAAAGGGTCGAATACGAAATGAGTAAAAAGACAACTCGGTGCAATTTACCTTGGCTCTCATATGTTACCGATTCAAGTCCACGCTTCGTGTAATCTCAACACCTCGTTCTTCGCTGCAGTCGTATCTTTTTCGCTAGCACTTCGTATGATTTACTTCCTTGTTTACATTTACTTTTCTATTTGTTATATTGAATTTTCCAATTTCAAAATACAAAATATTATACATCCACAAAGGCAAAATGTTACTGCATGCTGCAATTATACTATATTTCATTTTATTCATTTAACATTAAATAAAAGTATCTCGAAGTAGTTACCGAAGAATTTGTTAAGACAAGAGAAGATTGCATAGCTCACTTGATTAGCAAAGGGCTCGGAGAACAAATAATTACGGTAGTATACCTTTTTATAACATCAATACTATGCAGGCGTTTCCACTATACCTCATTAAACAAGACAGTAAGTATTTAAAAATTGTTGCTTTTTTACAAATGTTGATTATCCCTAAAAAATTTTTTTTCTCCGCAAAGTAAAATGTTTTATTTTAATGCAGCATCAAATACTAAAAATGATTGTATGAAACATAATTTTTAAACTCTTTCCTTGAAAATTTTCTACTAATATTTAAAATACCGTATAATTCGTCTTATAATATCCACATATCCACTTAACTTCAAAAAAATCGTTTAATAACAAAAAAATTATTTAAAATAAGATGATAAATTTATGAATATATTTTAGTATGATTTTTTTAATTCAATGTATAAATTTTTATTTGTATTGTTGATATAAAATTTGAGACGAAACCTATGTTGGTTGGAATTTTATATGATGCATCGCTCGACATGGACCAATCGAGGACATAAAACAGTCTGCAGCTAGCTGAGTTAAAAAATCATTTTGACGAGATAGTATCTCTTGTATTAATCAGAACATTTAAAAATAAGGCTGCAGCCCTAGAGCAAACGCTTTTAGCCGCGCGCAGAAAATGGAACCTAATGTTATAAATTATTTATTTGGCTATCCAAATGATTCTTGAAAAATCACGGCATTATGCTAATTCGATGATTAACATATTGGGAAGAGCCATCGAGATATTTCAGTTATTCATTTGCCAGCTTCTTTACATGGATTGAAAATAAAAGATGATAAAAAACAAAGAGGAGCAGTAAAAACGGGCGTGTAGAAAAAGAACGAGAAAGATGGTGCACATCGAAAGAGCGCGTAAATGTCACCTAAAGCAAACAAATGTTTTCTCTGCGTAATTATCGGTAAAAAGATATTGTAACCAAGAGAAGTTGGCAAAAAAAAAGAAAAAATAAAGTTGGGAGAAAAAAAGCTAAGATACTCATATAAATGGTAGTAAATGAAATGGGGTCCACAAAGCTCGTAAATGATTCATAGCTATGAATCGGTTCGCACGCTTATATTCTATCTCCCTCTCTTTCTTTCTCTCTCTCTCTCTCTCTCTGTCTCTCTACTGCTTCATGTGCTCAACCTTTTTTCTCTCTCAATCTTTTGCGTGAAGGGTTGAGTTGATGTTGGTGGTGGTGGTGGTTGCAAGGCAAACGTAATTAACGTGACCCTATCATTATGTGGTAGCGAGCAACCACTCCCTCGTCACATTATATGTTTATAAATTAGAGCCTCGACTGTGCGGGAGCGCGCGCGTGCACGCGCTTAGCAGTCTTAAAATACGAAATATGCGAGCGAGAGAAAGAGAAAGAGAAAGAGAGAGAGAGAGAGAGAAAGAAAAAAAGTCAAAACGAAAAAGATGAGAAAAGACTATACGGCATGAAACCCCGCGCGTACTCTTCTGGGGAGTCTTCTGATGCGGGGAGCACGCCGAGAATGCGCACAACAAAAATGATCGAAAAGAAGAAATGCGTGTATGCGAGAATATGTGTCTATATATAAGCAAAGTCAGCCAAAGAAAATAAGACAGAGAGTT